AGGTCGTTCATCACCCACTTGCTCCTTTTTGAAATTCACTCTGCAGCAAGCACTTTTTAAAGTCACGCACGTAATGCATTTTAAAAAGCATCTTCTGTACGGCTCCATTTGCTCAACCTCGGCCCTAAGTGTGAGATGGAATGGCATTTCAGTGCAGTCCCCCGCTCCTTCCTCCCGGAGCCTGTAGTGAATGTACACTGAGATGTATTTGTGACTAAACAGGACTGGGGCTCAAAAATGCAGTGTTTTGTTAAATGTTTGTTTGCTGATTAAAATGCATCTTGCAAAGAAAGCGCATTGCTAATGCAGAATCTAGTCCAAAAGTATGTATTATGTAATGCACATTTTTTAATAATGCAGGCAATCTCGGTGTATCTATATTAGTGAATCAGCTCTGGGCTGCCATCTCCTTTATAGGCATAAAGCACTCCATCTGAAGAATGAAGTACTTTCTTATGTACACTGAAGAATCATAATCTACCTTGTTGCTGACAACTGACATTAGTTTCCATTCAAAGGACATTTACTAGCACCCATATATTCCTGATTTTTCCCCCAACGTGCCCTGAAATCAGCTTGAATAATATCTTTGTTTCATATGCTGTCAGTGGAGCTGTGCTAATTAGAAGCAATAAAGTGGGTGGGTCAGTGTAGGCAGACCCTCTAGAAACATGCCCCATTAGTCAGGACTGAGAGGCAGAGATCAGGATTTGACACATACAGCTCTAAATGCCCCTGTAGAGTGTCCCATGATAATATCCACACAGCCATGCAGGCACCTGTGATAATAAAACCCTTGCAGTTCCTCAGGAAAAGTGGCAGAGCAGGGCACAACTGGAACATAGACATTTGTCCTTTTGTGGGGTTTGACAAATCAATCCCACTTTATTAGACCAACCTCCCAGGTTCAAGCAATTCTTGTGGCTCAGCCACCCGAGTAGCTGGAACTACAGGCGTGCGCCAACACGCCTGGCTAATTTTCGCATTTTTAGTAGAGACAGGGTTTCACCATGTTGGTCAGGCTGCTCTCGAATTCCTGGCCTCAAGTGATCCAACTGCCTTAGGCTCCCAAAGTGCTGGGATTATAGGTGAGAGACACCAGGCCCAGCCCAATCACTATTTTAAGGCTACAAACTAACACAGAGTGCAAGATACAAGCTATAGACACAGCCAAGATGCAGAAAGGAAAACCTCAACACATCCAAAGCAGTTGCTGGTCTCTCACTGGGGTATGAACTCTGCACTTGGTGGCTTTAATGCGGGTGTGGTGTTGAAGGTGTGAGGTTAAGTTCCATCATGGTGAGAATGGCTGTGGGTACCTGACTGACTCTTCACACACCAGGCAGAAGTACCAGCACCAGGAGGGCCTGGTGAGCCACCCAGTGGTGGAGCCTCTTTTTTGAAGATTCCCCATACTGACTCAAGAAGGAGGAAAGGACTACAACCTGTGACATGTGTCCTAAGTGAAACAACCTTCCTGATACTCCCATGGATTCCAGGACGATGGCTTTGCTCTGAGTTGTTTCGCCTTTGGACTTGTCACTATGGCCAAAAGGGCACTCCATAATTATCATGGAGGGCCAGACTGAGGACATGCACACCCCAAAAGCAGCAGCCAGGTTAGCTCCCACTGCAGGGATCTCCTCCTGTAGGCTGTCATTTGATTTTCTAGGGCCAAGAAACAGCAGCACTATTGACTCCAAGTCTACAGCCTTGCAGAGTTCAACAACACGATCTAGTGGTGTCTGGCCGCCCCCTAGCCCTGAGCCAATCATTTTCTCACGTGGAATTCAAACTGGATTAAACAATGTTGGTGGGTACAGAGGGATTCGGACTGATTCAATCTCCTGATTAACAGCAAATTAATCCAAAATATCCTTTCCTTAATACAATACTTTTGTTGTTTTCACTACTCTACCTTCAGCACGTAAAACACAGCTTGGCACATGCAAGGCACCCAATGAGTACTGCTCAAAGAGTTACCTTTGTTAAAAGCCTATCTAGGAAATAGATGTAAGGGGCCTCCAGTGAGGATTCCGTGTCACCCTGAACTGCCCCGCTGGAGAGAAGCGGTTGTGTGTACTGAGAACGCAGGAAACGCTTCCCTTTACCCATGCTCTCAGCTCCAGTCTGAGTTCCAGTACCACCTTCTCAGCTCAGTCGAGCTCAGGGCAGTCCTCAGATGGGCTTGCAGACTTGCAAACTACTACCTCAACCATGGGGGCCCTTGTTGAAGAAGATGAGGTAATCAGCCAATTCAGACTGTTTGAGCACGTATTTTTTGGAAACTTCTCTAATTACAGTCACTATAACAGATCTGCTAAAGGTAGTTTCATGATTAATGACTACCTGAAGTTACCATCCTCAAACTATTAAGCCATTGGAAAATACTGGGGGCTTAATACTCGTGTACAGACCCTCTTTCTCCTGAATATTTGCTATTTGGGGTTCTGGGTTTTTAGCTGCACTCAGGCTGTGTTTATTTCACCAATAACTGGGGAAACAGGGTGCGGCACGACCCCACAGAAGCCTGCGCCCACCTGCCCAAGTACTGGACCTGAGCTAGCTTGCCGCTTGCTCCTTGCCACCCGCCAGGCCCCCCGCCCATTGCTTCGCCCAAATCCTTTCAAACAAGGTTCCCTCCTGCCACCTGCCGGCCCACTAGGGTCTGCGCCACAGGCTCGGCGCCACCGCGCAGCTCGCGGGGAGGTGGCCCCCACCTCCTTACTGCACATGCCCGGCAGAAGTCCGGGCGCGCAACTTCGCAGAACCTCACTGCCCGTCCCTCCTCGCCTCAGTCTCCTCTGTCCTCTCCCAGGGAAGAGGACCGGCGGAAGCACCTCTCTCGAGTCTTAGGCTGCGGAATCTAAGACTCAGCGAGAGGAGCCCAGGAGGAGACAGACCTTTCCCCTCTTTTCCCATCCCTTCTTCTTGCTCAGAGAGGCAAGCAAGGCGCGGAGCTGTAGAAAGTTCTTAAGTGGTCAGGAAGGTAGGTGCTTCCCTTTTTCTCCTCACAAGGAGGTGAGGCTGGGACCTCCGGGCCAGCTTCTCACCTCATAGGGTATACCTTTCCCGGCTCCAGCAGCCAATGCGCTTTGGAGCCGCTCTCTGCAGAGCCAGAGGGCAGGTCGGCTTCTTGGTGTGCGCCTAAGAGGATGGATCGGAGGTCCCGGGCTCAGCAGTGGCGCCGAGCTCGCCATAATTACAACGACCTGTGCCCACCCATAGGCCGCCGGGCAGCCACCGCGCTCCTCTGGCTCTCCTGCTCCATCGCGCTCCTCCGCGCCCTTGCCACCTCCAACGCCCGTGCCCAGCAGCGCGCGGCTGCCCAACAGCGCCGGAGCTTCCTTAACGCCCACCACCGCTCCGGCGCCCAGGTATTCCCTGAGTCCCCCGAATCGGAATCTGACCACGAGCACGAGGAGGCAGACCTTGAGCTGTCCCTTCCCGAGTGCCTAGAGTACGAGGAAGAGTTCGACTACGAGACCGAGAGCGAGACCGAGTCCGAAATCGAGTCCGAGACCGACTTCGAGACCGAGCCTGAGACCGCCCCCACCACTGAGCCCGAGACCGAGCCAGAAGACGAGCGCGGCCCGGTGGTGCCCAAGCACTCCACCTTCGGCCAGTCCCTCACCGACAGCCAGTCTCTCACCCAGCGCCTGCACGCTCTCAAGTTGCGAAGCCCCGACGCCTCCCCAAGTCGCGCGCCGCCCAGCACTCAGGAGCCCCAGAGCCCCAGGGAAGGGGAGGAGCTCAAGCCCGAGGACAAAGATCCAAGGGCCCCCGAAGAGTCTGAGGAGCCCAAGAAGGAGAAGCAGCGGCGTCGCTGCAAGCCGAAGAAGCCCACCCGCCGTGACGCGTCCCCGGAGTCCCCTTCCAAAAAGGGACCCATCCCCATCCGGCGTCACTAATGGAGGACGCCGTCCAGATTCTCCTTGTTTTCATGGATTCAGGTTAGTTGCCCACCGCTAAACTGGGGAGCCTGAGGGCGGTGTGGGAGCAGCGGGCGGAAAGGAGGTGAGAAGGGAAGGCAGGTCAGGGGTGAGTCGGAAGAGAGGAGGCTCAGTTGGCCAGCCCAGGACCGGGGATCAGGGTGAGGCGGCGAGGGCTCCCCCAAACTTTCCAGGATGCCAGGGGCGCCCTGGTGGCCAAAGGTTTGTTGGACGGCGGGGCGCACACCGTGCGTCCCGCTGGAGACAACCTGAGGTCTCTCGGAGCTGGTGCCCCGGCTGCGCGACTGAATCCCGAACGCACCCGAGATTTGGAGCTGCACACCCAAACGGCATTGGTAAGTCACTTGTTTTGCGCGCCTTTCTTCCTCCTAGAAAGACTAGTCTCAAACAAGTTGGCCTTCTCAGGTGCCCAAAATGTGGTTCGGAGGTGCGCGCCAACTTTCACGTTGTGAGAGCAGCCGCGCTGTAGAGACACTGCTGCAATGTGTGGAAAGTAATCAGAATGGGATTGGGCGAGAACTCTGGAGACTGACCACCGGGAGGGAAGTCACGCGCGCGCGGCGCCTAAGCAGCTCAGAGCCGGGAGCCCAGGTCCCAGAGCTGCCAGTGAAGCCGCGGGACCTCCGCGCCAGTGCCCCCCGCTGCCGCGCGCCAGTCTTGGCCGCCACAGCCCGCCTCCCGGCGCTTGCCGGGACGGAGACCGCCTCAAAGAGCGTGCGCACCTGCCCGCGCGCGCCGGAGAGACCTCTCCCGCGGCGGGCAGTTGGGGGGAAGTACTTGGGGGAAAGGTAGGGGACGTAAGGGGACCCCTGGGGGTGGCCCTACGGGCTACCAGGGTTGGACGCACAGGCATGGTCACGTCGGGGTATTGCCAGGCTTTTGGCGCAGCTGGTCAGGTGGCCAGGCTGCATGCAGCTTAGCAGGAGACGTCCTGGGCTGTTTGCGCAGGACCTCTGGAGGCCCTCAAGATGGTCGCAGGCGGAAAGGTAAAGCGGAACAAGGGATAGACTGGAGAGGGGGGTCGCGTCTAACATCAGGATAACTTACAATTCGTTTCCAAAGAGCGCGGCACCCGCAGAGCTGGGGAAAGGTGTTCGATCCGGCGCCAGTCCTTGGACGATCAGTCGAAAAGGAGGCAGGGGCCGGCGGCTTCGGCAGCCTTGGGGAGGGCAGGCGGCGTGCTCCGGCCATTTTCAGCTCGGGTGGAGTTAAGTTTAGAATCTGTAACCTGGAGGGGAATCTGCTCTGGTGACCCAGCACAAAAACGGCCGCAATCTGGTAACGCACCTTCGGAAGGGAAGGCGTGCTCTCCTCGCCAGTCCTGGGGGGAAAGACTGATAAGTGAAATGTCTTTAAAAAATCTCATCCGACTTGGAAATTTTTTTTTCTGGTGTGCGTGTCTCATTTTGCGCCGGCTTGAATTATTCGGATGACAATGATTTAGAGGAAAAGTAAAGCGTTTTGAGGGCTTGAAATGAATGATGGTCAGGTTTTTAACTCCTAAGAAAAGGATGATGATAGAAGGAAAATACCTTAAATGGTCTTCCTTCCAGGACCTATTCCGTAGGAAAGGCGTCGCGGCGCCCAAGACTTAGTTCTGCTGGTCTGCAGCGCAAACTGTGGTTAGATGCCTTTGTGGTCTTCCGTAATAAATACGGAGAAGCAAGTTTATTTGCAAGTGGTTTTCTGCGGCAGCAATGTTAGTCTCGGAAGTTTGGAGGCTGCGGAAGGGCTAGGCATGCCCTGCTTTTGGCTTGCCCATAAATCGAAATTCCTACTTAATGTAAACAATGATGGTGTGTTGCTTTCTGTGACATGAAGCGTTCAGTTTTTCCTCTGGTAATGTCTCAGCCTGAGTTCACGAAGCAAAAGGTCTCTAGGGACAAGCAAGAGAAAGCAGGGGTTGTGTTGAATTTTTTGGTGTGCCTTTCAAGTGTGGGCGCTATCTTCAGACTGGGTAGTCTGGGAGACCCGTTTTCCCACAAAGCTAGGTTTATTCATTAGAGAAATGAGCGTGTTGCCTTGTTGCAGGATGAATAAACAAGTTTTTTAAAAGCCCTCCGTGTCGAGCCCATACCTCACACCCATCTTGCTGTTTTTTAAACAGAAGCCCAACACGGGGAGGTTTCCTGAACTGTAAGCAATGTACCACATTCACATGTAGCCAGGAGGGGCAATCTAGGAACACACAGTCTTTCAGACAGTCTTCCACAAACTGCCTCGCCATCTGCATTACAGCCCAATTGTGAAAACCTGTTACCTACCGGCACACACTCTCCCCCGCTCAATTCCCCTCCCCCAGCTTCCCTCTCTACACCCTGATTCAAGGGTGGAAAAGCCACTGCAGACCATACAAAGCAACTGAGAGATATACCAACCCCCCAGGAGAGCACTCATGACCCTCCCTGAGAAGACAGGATTTTGCTACATAGACTTAGCAAACCTTCTTTCTGCCCGAGAAACTGGTATTCACCTGCCTTACCTATTCCAGAGCCATTTCTAGCAAGTTCCCCAAGCATTCCCAACTCACTAGTCTCCCAGCTGGCCCTTTGTCTACCCAGCTCAACCGGGGTTAGCATTTGAATAGGCTCACTTGCCCCTTTTACATAGGTGAGGTCTGAGGTCTGCTCTCAAGAAAAAGCAAATCTTACCATTAACCACATAGGTGAATTACCAGCCAGTTTTAATATTTCAAATGGGGGAGGAGGAGGAGCAAGAGAATAAAGCTAGTTAAACATGATGATATGCCCTCAATATTGAAGTTATTTCCTTTACTACATTAATCATTTGCTTAATGGAAATTTGCTTTTTGGGGGGAGGGGAGGACGACCTAAAGATGCTCTTGTAATTGAACTTATTTGAGCTGGGAAATTATGCTGCAGTGTTCCAACACTGTGTGGGGTCAACCTGATGTAGGTTTAAAGTTTTGCAAACAGAACTCTTTATGTTCATCAGAATTCAAGAATTAGAAATGTTACAGTTTGGGATTGTTTTGAGATGTTTCTTTAACGCACTGCAAGCCTTTCTCACTCTGGAGCTGCTTACAGCCTTTGACTCTTCAGCCTTCATTTTCTGCAGCTGTGTAGGTTAAGGAGGAAGAAAGCTGAAACTTCAGTGTTGGTAAGAATGAGGTTTTTTGCTTTTTAAATAATCGACATGGATTTACCTCAATTATCAGTTATTATTATACTGCTCTTCAAGAAGAGGGAAGCTGTTGAGAGGAAACTGAGCAGAACCCATAGTGTGAGTAAAGCATGTCTCTTAACTGGAAGGTGATCTATTCACAAAAACCAAATCACTGAAATAAAATTAAGCTTCCAGGCCAGTGACGTCATGTGCTGGCTCAAGCGCTGCTCTTCTCTAAAAAATCGCCCAGCAGAGGGATGAGATGCTCAAATGACATCTTTAATCCCCATGTTCAAGAATGAGAGATGGAATTTCTGTTGGGGGGTTTTGACACTAATGACTCTATTTCCTGTAACTTGATGTCCCAAATTGGAGCAGTGGGATCTAAGACAAAATGCCTGGGGCTAACAGCCCAGGTTGCTTCTAGCCATGGTCTTGTCAAGTGGCCTTAGGTCAGACCCTACACCTCTCTGCCTCAGTTTCTTCTAAAATGAGGTCGCTGAATGAGATGATCCTATTTATCCCTTTCTGCTCCAAATGTCTAGATTGATTAGTTTAAGAAGGCTGGGGTTGTCCAATTTGACTCTATACTAGTGATTTTAACCCTAATGGAACTCAAAAAAAACTTCAAAATTTGATCAAATAAAAAGCACCAGCTAGAGATCATGCCATTGCACTCCAGCCCGGTCTACAGTGTGAGACTGTCTCAAAAAAAAAAAAAAAAAAAAAAACCCAAAAAGCAAAAAAAGCACCAGCTATGAAGAAATCTGTTTTGTGTTGGTTTCATGTAAATTTTGTCAAATCTGCCTTACAGTTGGTTACAAAATGGTCTAAAAAAGCAGTTTAGAGAATGCAGAATTCCATTGTGTCCTTTCCCTAAACTAGAAAAATTTAGCCATCCTGAGAGTCATATTTAGTGTGTGTTTTATGTGTGTGTGTGTTCCCCACCTTCTCTCCCTGACCTTGGTGCCTAAGAACAAGCTTTTCAGAGCAGGAGCAGGCAGCATGGCTGCAAGTACTGACCTAGTACTGCGGCTTGGAGAGGCTAACCACTGTGGGAGACGGTAGACTGATGGGAACATTGGTTAAGTGACCACAAGTGTTGTTGAAAGATTTTTGGTAACAGTTTTAAGTGTTCTGGTTAAGCTAGACCTGAAAAAAAAATGGCATAGAAGCTACAGTTTTCTCAACCTTTGTTTTTTTCATGATCACTCCCCTCTTAGCTTCTTCAGACATATACTTCTTATTTGCCCCTCCCCATGACATTTTAATACCACGGACATATAGCTGTACCCCATTATCTGTTTATGTACTACAGGACCTTGTCACAACTAAGACTTTTTGCACACTGCATACCCCAAAACCAATTTTGCCTCCATCACAGATGCACGAGATAAACAAAGCAAATATTTCAAAAACAAACAACAACAACAAAAATCTGATTCTGTCAAATTAAGTGATTTAGCACCCATTTTTGTTTTATAATTTCTTTCTTACATATCAAAAGGCCGTACATGGGGGGGGAAGTAAATTTTTTACTGGTATTTGTTTTTTTTCCCTTGTTTAAAAATCTCATGAGTTTTCCCAAAGGCCTCCAATAGCTACTCTGGTCCAAGCACTAGTGGCCATTAATTCACAGGGCAGAGAAGCCAGAATAAGCAGCCTCTAGTGGCTTAGTTCTCCCAAGGCCAAGAGCCTGCAATGCGGGGCCACCATCACCTGTTGACCATGCTCAGCCAGCAGAGGCAGGACTCTGCCTGCAACTATTCCCGGGTAGAAATGGGGAGGCTGCCTTCCCAGCTCCCACTGGGCATAGCCTGGGTGTTTATTTTGTGGATTTATTTTAAGGTAGGTATGTTACAAATTAGCAGGGCCCATGACTGTGAGAAAGGCCAACATAAACCCAGGCTGCATGGACAGAGGGTAGGTGGTGGCAGTAAAGTGGGGAGAGATTTAAGGAAGACAAAAGGAAAAGAATTTGAGGGATCACAGAAAAAAGGAAGATGTGGGCAGACAAGAGAACTGCTGGGAAGGAGCAGAAAAGAAGATTTAGAAATGGGGAAGCGGGTCACAAAGCCAGAAAATTTGGGGGTTATAAAGTTGTCTGAAGGAATAAAGAGAGTCTTGAAGAGAGAAAGGTTGAGGGCAGCTTCAAGTATCTGGTGGCTGAGGGGGTTAGAACAAGGTGTATCAAGGGACAGACTTTAGCTCAGCATTAGGAAGGGCATTTTTAAAAGCCAAATATGGCACTGGAGGGCTAATAATGAGGCTCACAGATTCGACACTGTTAACACCACTGTCCCCCTGAGAGTTTCTTTCTCTTTCTTTCTTTTTTTTTGAGACAGTCTCTCTGTCGCCCAGGCTGGAGTGCAGTGGCGCGATCTCGGCTCACGGCAAGCTCTGCCTCCTGGGTTCACGCCATTCTCCTGCCTCAGCCTCCCAAGTAGCTGGAGCTACAGGCGCCCGCCACCACGCTGGGCTAGTTTTTTGTATTTTTAGTAGAGATGGGTTTCACCGTGTTAGCCAGGATGGTCTCGATCTCCCGACCTCATGATCCTCCCGTCTCCGCCTCCCAAAGTGCTAGGATTACAGGCGTGAGCCACCAGGCCCGGCCTCCCCCTGAGAATTTCTTACAGACCTGGTCCAAAAATTCCAATTTCACAGGTGTGGAGTTTTCACACAAGTACTTCAATTGCTACGCTCAAAGAGAAAGATTTAACACCTAGAAATCTAGCCGTCTAGAGCCTTGGGTTTTGGTTCACAGCAAGGTTGGTCTTCAAGGTCCTCACTCTCAAACTTGAGGGGTCCAAGGGGCACAGGCCAAAGACTGGCAGCCAGCAGAAGACCACGTTTCTTCTCCCCCCAACCCCATGTGAGAGCTGGTTTCTGAGTGTCCTGGCTTATGTTGCTGTCTCAACTAGATTTCATTAGGAAAATTTGCTCTGGGTAATTGAGGTTGTTCGAGAAGGTGAAATATACCATTCCCCTTAAACAATGATGCCCAGAAGCCCCAGGGTGGCTGGAATTTCCACCATGAATTGCAGAAATTTTAAGCAGAGCTTCCACTAAAGCCAAATTTATCTTCCGGGATTCCCTCTTCCCCCTCCAACCCCTACTTTTGCCTCTCTCTTAGTTTCTTTCCCATGGTGCTGTTCATCTTTTTTGGAATGGCCTCTTCTCCCCTGAAATTCTTTGCTGCATCATCAGCTAGACTGGAGAAGGAATCCACAGCCCAGCTCAGGCAACTACAGAGAAAATGTCCAGACCCACTGTTTAAGCACAGGTGGTCAGAGGACAGTGGCATGCCTTGGCTAAAACAGAATTTGGTGCACCTTTTGAGAAGGTTGCTGAGCTACAGCTAATTAGCTGAGTGAAGGGGTCTGAATTCACGATGCAGGCTTTTTAATCTGAGCATATCAAGTATTTTCATAAAGACTATTTCTACCACCTCTAATATCAGCCTTGCATCTGCCTCTAACCTGGTATCTTGCCTCATCCATTTGAGGCCTTTTTTCTTTAGCTGGCATTTGCTTCAAACAGCCTGGCCACACAGACCCCTCTGCAGACAGCTGTATGCTGCTGCCTCCACCGGCCAAGGCGGGCAGAGAAGAGGCTGAAGGGAAAAGGATGGCAGCAGCAAGTCTTCATTGAAAAGTAATTAATTGTACAGCTTCAAAGTCTATTACTACTCAGTCAGCACTCAAAACATTTGTCACTGGGAGGCTGAGAAATGTCATAGTTGCCTAAATTCTTTTCTACCTTCTCTTTCTGCTTTTACTTTTTTCTCAATTGAAAGAAACCCACTCACAACTAATGACATGAATGGGCTATAGAGAAGGCACTTCTGCAAACTTCACCACCCACCTCCCTGCAAAGCCACAGACCAAAAGGAAAATGACTACCAAAAAAAAATACTGTTGTTCATGGTTCCTGTTCCCTTCCCTTTCACTCACCTCCCCTCCCTCTCTCTGCTTTGCTTTATCTTTGTTGCCTACAGGGATAAACCCAGAAAGCTGACAGGTAGCTACCAAAACTTGAGATATGCCTTGTGCTTTTGGTAATGAGTAAGAATCCCAGAATGTGAGTAGAAACACAATCACTTGCTGAATACATGTGCCATGAAAGCGTCAGTAGCGACAGATGAGAGAGAGGTGAGAGACTAAGTTTGGGAAGCCCAGGGCATCACGTGGGGCTACCAAGGAATGGAGCTGTAATGGTGCTGTTCAGAGAGTCAACGGTAAAGAAATACATACATTCTTTCCATTTGGGGTTCCATATTTTCAAAAAGCCACTGTTTGCCACCGGTGGCACCTGGGCCATTTGGCTTTCCTCAGAAATGCAGAGTTTAATGGAAGCATGAGAAATTTTTCCCATCCCTTTCTTAGTACATCAAGTGCAGAGGCTATTATTTTTAAGTAGCCAAGTATACACAATTTTCAAGTAACCCATCCCTGGGTTTTGACAGCCAAGGCTGTCGTCCCTTACTTGACACATCATCTCACTGCAGCCCTGCACTCCAGCACACAGCCCCTCAGGACGGGGGTCAGGACCCTGGCACACAGCTTCTATCCATCCCAACTCGGCCTTTTTTTCAGGCACCAGCCTCTCCTGACTTCCTCTTCCTTAGCTGCATAAACACATTAATAGACTTTCCTCCCTCAGTCCTGTCACATATTCATCTTTTCCCATGCTGGCAATCCATCCAGCATTGGAAAGCTATGTTTAAGGTACTTTGCTATTATACAATTATAATGGCAGATCCTAAAAACGTCCCTGGCAAGGTTAGGCCCCAGATGACGCTGCCCACTAACATCCAGCACTGGCCATCTCCATCCAGATCAAGGTCTTGTTTCTCTCTTGAGTTAGCAAAATTATCTGCCCTCAGGAGGATCACCAGGTGATCAGGCCAATCAAGGGGGACCCAGTAAACCCACTAGCTGATCACTCCCAGCTCTTACTATACCGGATTCCTCAGGTCCCTGTGGCCTTTCAGGTGCCACAGGTGGATCAACTCCTCGAATATTTGGCCACACTTCTGGGGTCCCTGACCCCACTACTGATGTTTCAACTCCTAGCTCCACTCACCTGAAGGACTTAGGTTTTTCAGAGACTGGTAGCCAGTCACTACAGAGAAATAACAAGAGTGCGAAAATGGGGGAATATCAGGGTTAAATACTGGGATTTATCCTTCCTGGTCTTAATTTACCTTTAGATTAAGGCAATTCCTATTCAAATCTAAGGGTCCTTTCTCAGCTTATAGTGGTGATTTTCAACTGGGGGAGATTTTGCCCCCCAGAGGACATTTGGCAAAGTCTGGAGACATTTTTGGTTGTTAAAACTAAGGGGATGCTACTGGCATCTAGTGGGTAGAGGCTAGGGATGCTGCTCAACATCCTACAATGAACAGGGCAGTCACCACAACAAAGAATTGCCTGGCCCCAAATACCACTAGTGCAGAGGCTAAAACACCAAGTCTAGATAAAATGTGCTGAGTGGTTCTGAAACCCCTTCCTCTGGTGTGCTCCCATCTCTCCCTTCTGAGTCCTCCCTGCTCACTCCTGGACTGTATCCCTTTTTCCTGTCCAGTGCACCAATTGTTCAAGATTCTGTTACCAAATGTGTTTCTCCCCTAAAGAATTTTCTCTGACTCCATGAATTCATCTTTGTAAGGACGATTGTCAATTTGAATGTGTGATCTTTATCTTTTTCTAAATTTCAGACTTTCCCTCCCTAAATTTCAGATTTCCCTGCAAAAATCTCTATCCCAACTGCTCAAAGTTCCTTTAACTCTGCCATGTCTAAAACCAAATCAGCACTGCCACCTTGCCAGTCCCTCCCACTGACTTCCCTGTCCAACTCCCAGTGTTTCATCCATCTGGGTGACACACTTTGGCTCCTCCATTTTTTGTGTCTTTCTAGCAATAAGAGATGCTCCAGGAGGATCCTTTGGGACCCCTCTTGAGTGTCATCCTTCAGCATTCCTGCTTCCTTCACCGTGCTAGGTCTCTCCTTTAAACATCTCCTTTGTGCATAAGCCCTTTCCTTTGTTCTCTCTCCATCAGGATCATCCTCCATGCTGCTTCTGCCTTTCCTAAAAGTAGGTTCAAATCCTCACTTGCAAGACAAAAAACTTTCAACATCCTTTCTGTTTCCTGCCAAAATAGCCTCAAAGTGCTTGCTCTCATACTCCATGCCATCCTCAGAGAGATTCTATCTAATTTCTCCTGACTTTTCTCCCCCTGCTCCTGAAGAGCCAGCCAAGGTGGCCAGTTGTGTTTACCCAGCCACGCCCCATGTTTCTTACCATTATTTCCTTTGTTCGTGGTGGGCAAACCGTCTCCCATCCCCCACTACTACCTTCTATTCATAGCCAAGGCATCTATCCTTCCTTGGAGGCCCATATAAAAAGCCATTTTCTCCACCAAGACTTTCAAGGTCCCCCCAAGTGGAAGTCTTTTCTTTCATTTTTATGCTGCTCTACTCCCTAGGATGAGGAATTGGTATTTGCCTAACCTTTTTTTTTTTAATCACCTCGATGCATGTGCTCCCCTGGCAAAGAATCATGATACCAGAAAGAATGAACAAAGGGGTCCCACAGACCCATGAGGGTGTCGAACAGAGACCCTGAACCCGTTCCTCGACAAATGGTGCTTTGGGGGTGAGCGCGAGGCCTGACGAGAGCAAACCACCCCTTCGGGGCACCCATCGCATTCTCCCTGGGGCTCCAACCCCAATGTCTACTGACCTTCCACTTGTGCAGGCTCAGCATCCCTGGGGCCTCAACTCCTTAGCCATCCTGGGCTGCTCCTCGCAGTAAGCCCTCTCCTCGTAGTCCTGGCCTTCTACCTCCCAGCCCTGGAAATCTTCTTGCTCCTTGCCTCTCCCGGCAGCGGCACCCCGTTGGCTAGGTTAGCCTGCCGCCATCAACGCACCCAAGGGTTGGCCCCTGGGACCCCACCTCTCCCCCGAGGCTCGGCAACCTGTGGCATGAGGAAGGGTGACCCCACGGCGCTAGCGGTCCTCGTGGTCTTCCAGGCCTAGCCGCCATACACCCGCCCCCCAACGACTTCCAACCACCCCATCAGCACAACCTCTTCGGGCGTTCCAACGCGGCGCCCCCTATTGGACCTCCCACCCATATCCGGTTTCCGGTCTGACGCCCCCTGCTCATTCGCCAGGCAGCTGTGATTGGCATGACCCCAGCCCAATGGCTGACCCAGCACTGGGGTCGTAGGGGAGTGAGTTGGTGCTGGGACCCAGTTGGGCGGCGGTTCAGTGGATGCCCAAGTGGCTAAGCCATTTTGTGTGGAGTTAGTTGGCCAAAGTTGGAATCAAAGTTCAGTGTTGACAGCTGGAAGTGTGTAGACCCATAGAGCTAAAGCGACATATCTTTGGGGATCCCAAACGTTTACGGGGGTCCTACTGTGTTCGCCTCTTTTCGTGCTGCGTGGCCACGTGGATGGTGGATGCAGGGGTGGGGGGGGCAAGGATGCGCGGTGCCTGTGGTACCCTGGCTCTAAGAGGGATGCGTTAGACGGTATCGCACCGTGCAGTGGTTCGCCCGCCTGCAGCTCGCATACAGCAGCCCGCGCTGTGCGCCCTGCTTTCTGCAGCCCGCCCTGTGTAACACTCATCCAGCCTCTCCTCCCGCAGGACTCTGCAGGTCAGGTGACCCCCTGCCTCCTGCCCAGCTGCTCTGTGCCTAGACGTGGTTCGCCAATCTGTCTTACTGGTGAGACCGACCTGATGCGCACCTGCCGGGTTTTACGTGACACCCTAAAAGCAGCTTTTCTCCCGGGCTCAAATCCCTCTGCAGACCCCAGACCAGAGCATAGCATGTGCACACACCAAGGTCACCAGGTGGTTTGGGTATTTACCTTTGGCTAGCTCTGAGCCCACCGCAGCATGGTAGCGGGAGCGCAGCTGCGCGGGCAACCGCCGGGTTTGTGGCTGGTTGGCGGGCTCAGTGCCGCCTCAGTAGGCTCTAACAGTGGAAAACTAAAGCGACTACCCTAAGATACCCATAGCGAGAGGAGAGGGGCTGGAAGGGTGCTGGAGACAGGCTGTAGTGGGGCTAAAGGAGCAGACTGACCGGTGCTGCGGCCGGCACCCGAAGCAGCAAGCAGCGCACCTCAGCTGCGGTTGCCGCGCGGCATGGTGTTTATCTGTGGGTTCAGTGCCCACAGCGTTGTCCACTCTCGAAATCACCCTAAACCGGCCATAAACGCCAACCAAAATCCCTTTAACCCTTCCCTAGAACCGCAGGACCTGCGAAACTCTGAGGCCGCTTTGTGGGGTCCCCCTCTGCGCAGCACGCCCCCCAACCCTCCATCAGTGCCACCGCAGCTACTGCCTAGGGGCTTTGCTCTTGGTGGTACGCACCCGAGACCTTCTTATTCCCCTGCGTCACCATCCACATAAACAAGGGAGCACCCTGCTTGCGCTGCTGTGGGCCACTGCGGAGACACCTAGAGTGTGATGAGGGTGGGGGCTGTTAAAGTGCTTTACCGGAGCCAACCTCAGCAAGCAACAAACAAAAGCAGCAAAAAGTACACCCAAGGCATTTAAAAAACAAATTGTGAGCTCGCATACTCAGCATCCCCTCTCCCTCGTCTCTCTCTGCTTCTCTGGTGGGCTCACGACCACCTGTCGCATCCCCACGCATGCCTGCGCCCCTTCTCAGGCACCAAAAGCCTTGCGCTCTGGACTAGGGGCTTGAGATCCGGGGCTGCCTGGAGGCTGGGGGCTATGACTCAGTGTTTCAGGGGTATCCTGGGGTAATGAAACCCTTCTTCAGTTCCCCCTCCCCCGAGGAGTCGGTTGGGTTGGGGAGGGAGGGTTTCAGCTCCTGTACTCCAGCGTCCCGAGGCCCACGTCTTGCGTCACGTGTCCCGCAACGCAGGAGAGCTTTCTCTGGCCAGGGGAGAAGCGAGGAGAAAGATTCCAAATCAGTCAGGGAGAGGAGTGGAAGGAGCCAAAACGTCCCTGCGAGGCCTGCGCTCGTCAGCCCCCTTACCCAAAGTCCCGGGCCGCCGGCGCCAGGAGCAGGATTCTGGAGCTGGAGCCAGCTCGGCACTGGAACCGGCGTCCTCTGGTGGCAGAGAGAGAGCGCTACTGGCGATTTTCGGACCGAATCGGCACGCTCGTCAGATCCAAGCAGGCGGGACTGGCCTGGAGGAGAAAGAAAGAGAGAGGAGGGCATAAGGACAGACTAAGGAAGAGGGGCTTGGGGGCATACTGAGGGGATAAAAAGTGGCCAGAAAGGAGCCAAGACTCCACCAGCAACAATTGAGTTGCTTCAGCCTCAGTCTAGGGTTCCAGGCCTTGAAACCCCCCAACCTCACAAGGGTTGGAAAGTGAGGCTGGTGAACTTTCCAGCTGGTACTTTGATTTAAAAATAATAATAATAATTTTTTCACCCTAGTTCGGTTGGGTGCTCCATCTTTCGGAGCCCCAAACTTATTTTGAGAGGCCGCCACCGTGTTATGGGCGTGCGCAACTGCCTCGACGGCAATAATATGTCAGGACAACGCGATATCCCCCCTGAAATCGGGGAACAGCCCAATCAACCATCTTTGGAGGCCCCAGGGGCAGCTGCCCCCGGTGCTGGGCCTAGCCCAGCCGAAGAGATGGAGACCGAACCGCCTCACAACGAGCCCATCCCCATCAAGAATGACAGCGAGGCCTGTGGACCCCCAGAGGTCTCCGGGCCCAACTTTCAGGTCCTCAACCCGGCATTCGGGGAAGCTGGAGCCCATGGAAGCTACAGCCCACCTCCTGAGGAAGCAATGCCCTTCGAGGTCGAACAGCCCAGCTTGGGAGGCTTCTGGCCTACACTGGAGCAGCCTGGATCCCCCAGTGGGGCCCATGCAGGCCTTGAGGCCTTCGGCCCAGCATTCATGGAACCTGGAGCCTTCAGTGGTGCCAGACCAGGCCTGGGAGGATACAGCCCTCCACCAGAAGAAGCTATGCCCTTTGAGTTTGACCAGCCTGCCAAGAGAGGCTGCAGTCAACCTCTCTTACAGGTCCCAGACCTTGCTCCAGGAGGCCCAGGTGCTGCAGGGGTCCCCGGAGCTCCTCCCGAGGAGCCCCAAGCCCTCAGGCCTGCAAAGACTGGCTCCAGAGGAGGCTACAGCCCTCCCCCTGAGGAGACTATGCCATTTGAGCTTGACGGAGAAGGATCTGGGGACGACAGCCCACCCCCGGGGCTTTCCCGAGTTATCGCACAAGTTGACGGCGGTGGCCAGTTCGCGGCAGTCGCGGCCTCGAGTGCGGTCCGCCTCACTCCCCCCGCGAACGCGCCTCCCCTCTGGGTCCCAGGCGCCATCGGCAGCCCATCCCGAGAGGCTGTCAGACCTCTTCCTAACTTCACGGGCAGCAGCCCCCCGATGGAGATCTCCGGACCCCCGCTCGAGATTGGCAGCGCCCCCGCTGGGGTCGACGACGCTCCCGTCAACATGGACAGCCCCCCAATCGCGCTTGACGGCCCGCCCATCAAGGTCTCCGGAGCCCCAGATAAGAGAGAGCGAGCAGAGAGACCCCCAGTTGAGGAGGAAGCAGCAGAGATGGAAGGAAGCACAGCCGCTGATGCCGCGGAGGGAGGAAAAGTCCCCTCTCCGGGGTACGGATCCCCTGCCGCCGGGGCAGCCTCAACGGATACTGCCACCGGGGCAGCCCGTGCAGCCCCAGCGGATCCCGACTCCGGGGCAGCCCCAGAAGATCCCGACTCCGGGGCAGCGGCTCGAGGCGGCCCCCAGAAGATCCCGACTCGGGGCAGCCCCTGCCGCCTCGAGATCCGACTCCCGGATCCCGACTCCGGGGCAGCCCCAGAAGATCCCGACTCCGGGGCAGCCCCTGCCGCCTCGGCGGATCCCGACTCCGGGGCGGCCCCTGACGCCCCAGCCGATCCCGACTCCGGGGCGGCCCCTGACGCCCCAGCCGATCCGGACTCCGGGGCGGCCCCTGACGCCCCAGCCGATCCCGACTCCGGGGCGGCCCCTGACGCCCCAGCCGATCCCGACTCCGGGGCGGCCCCTGACGCCCCAGCGGTTCCAGATGCCGGGGCAGCCCCTGACGCCCCAGCCGATCCAGATGCCGGGGCAGCCCCTGAGGTTCCCGCCGCCCCTGCGGCTGCTGAGACCCGGGCAGCCCATGTCGCCCCAGCTGCGCCTGACGCCGGGGCTCCCGCTGCCCCAGCCGCTTCTGCCACCCGGGCAGCCCAAGCCGCCCGGGCGGCCTCTGCAGCCCCTGCCTCCGGGGCCAGACGCAAGCTCCATCTCCTTAGACCCCCCAGCCCCGAGATCCAGGCTGCCGATCCGCCTACTCCGCGGCCTACTCGCGCGTCTGCCTGGCGGGGCAAGTCCGAGCGCAGCTGCGGCCGCCGCGGGTACTACGATGAAGGGGCGGCCAGCAGCGACGATGACTCCAGCGGAGACGAGTCCGACGATGGGACCTTCGGATGCCTCCGCTGGTTTCAGCATCGGCGAAATCGCCGCCGCCGAAAGCCCCGGCGCAACTTACTCCGCAACTTCCTCATGCAAGCCTTCGGGGGCTGCTTCGGTCGATCTGAGAGTCCCCAGCCCAAAGCCTCGCACTCCCCCAAGGTCAAGAAGGTACCCCTGGCGGAGAAGCGCAGACAGATGCGCAAAGAAGCCCTGGAGAAGCGGGCCCAGAAGCGCGCAGAGAAGAAACGCAGCAAGCTCATCGACAAACAACTCCAGGACGAAAAGATGGGCTACATGTGTACGCACCGCCTGCTGCTTCTAGGTAATGCGGCGGACTCTGCCTGCGGGCAGCAGGGCCGCCGGGGAACTGGGTAGGGGGTGGCAGGGCTGCCTGGTGGGGCTCGGGGCTCGACAGTGGGAGGAGGGGATCCAGCCAAAGGCGGGAAGAGCTTGCTAGAAAGTTCCAGGGAGGGACCCTAACGATACCCTGGGAGCGGGAGGGGATCTTGGGTGGATTCGGGTGGCCGAAGTATATGCCCTGCAGGGAGAAAAGTGGTGCCGAGCGACACTGAGGGTCGTTTCCGGCTGGACAGGCCAGCGCCAGCAACCGTAAGCTGGACAGGCAGGGGCTTCAGGTGAGCCAGGAACTGCCGGGGAGGGGCCCCGGGGGCCCCGGGGCTCCCCTGGCTAGGCTGGTGGGGTCCATGGTGGGCTGGGGTCGTTGGGAAAGGCGCGCCCCCGCCTCGCCTGGCACGGCTGCTTGGACTCAGACAGCTTGTCGTTGGTGTGTGTTGGTGTCCATATTCTGTGTTCGCCTGTGCATGATACGCTCAAGTGTCTCCCGTTCCTATCCCGGCACCCCCAAATTACCCGGCGACTGTGTACTTGTACTTGGGAACGGGCTGTCTTGTGGTTTGCGCCATGGCGCGGGCAAAAAA